AATACATAATATCAAAAGCAAACAATGGACTACACCTGACCGTTGAAATCGCAGACGCTTTATTTCAAGGAGCCTTTGTTACTAACACGATTTTTCTTGCCTCATTGTTCTTTTTTAATTAAAAAATGTAAAAGAGACTGATTCGTCATTATTTAATTTTTTTGGGAGGCATAGTTAGGGAGACCAAGACCCACTTCGGGTCGCTGTGTCATCCTAGTTAGTTAGGGAGGCATCATCATCATCAGCTCACTATACGTCCCCACCGAGGAGCTCGGAGCTTACCCTAAGTTAAGGGTGATTAGACCATAGTCAACCACATATCGAGGCATGGTAAGGGGGAATATTGTCTTTCTGTGTGTCTCCTCCGTCGATTAAAGGTAGGTAAGACATATGCAATAGCAGACATCTATGGCCAGTCGTGGCTCCGTAATATCCGGGAGTGGATGGGGATATCAGCGGAGGAACTGTTTTGCCTTGTACTTGACAGGAACAAATATTCCTAGTTAGCGGCCAAACCTTCCAAACTGAAGTGGCGCTGAAAGAAGAAGAATGGGCAGGGATCACTTGGCCATTTCGGCGAATTCAGGTGGCCTCTTGCTCGTTTGCCATCTTATAATATTAAAAAAAAGTATTTGAGCATCATAGATGAAGAACCAAAAATTTCCACTGCCGAAACACCTTTAAAAAACGATGGAATTAAAAGAAAAAAACAAGTAAAATCGCACAAATTGAAGCATCAGAAATGGGTCGAGTATCATTTGTCACAGAGTTCAACTGCAGCAACGCATTGATTGCTTCCCATTGTGAAATAATAACGTCGCCTGTACAAAAATTCATTAGAAAAAAATTACAAAGAGAATAGGAGGTATTTAAAATATTTTTGAATCTCGGCAATAGACAAAAAAATCGGTAATGATATGAGTATTAAACCGTACAAATTATCACTTACATCGTATTAATATTATAAATTCGAATGTTTGGATGAATGGATGTTTGTTTAAACATATCTCTGTAATAGATTTAGAACATAGTCTGGAGGAACACATAGGCTACTTATTAAGTCTTTTTTTAATTCCGTGCAGACGGAATCGCGGGCGACAGCTAGTTTTGTAATAATTTTTGACTTAGCTTTAGAAAGTTGGCTAAGGCCTAGTCTGCAGACTAAGGCCTTAAAGATATATATACTGACGATTTGTGGTAGCCAAAAATCATAAAATGTTTTTTTTCTAGCCACTATCATATAGTATTATGAAGGGCAGGTTAAAATGTCATAAAACTCAATGTTACCTAAGTGGGTTACCTTAATTGATTACGCAGGTAATAATGCAAGCCTTGACAACTTCCTCTACTATACAGCCGCTAAATATGACAATACAATCGTTTTTGCAAAAAGAATTTCTTTTGCAGAAAATGTAGGGTGACCATGAAATATGCATTAAAATACTATAATTATTAATCTCAATTTTGAATTTTTCGCAATATACTTGTAATAATTGAACTGAAATTTTGGATGGATGGATTTTAGTTATCACGTGACTCTAGGATAAACGAATCAGGATGAAATTAAAAACAAAAATAGGATATATTATGGAATAGCACATAGGTAACTATTAATTAACTTTTCTTTTAATTCCACGGGGACACCGAGTCTTGCATAAAACATTATGTGCAATTGCAAAACTATAAATACTCAATAAATTTTTACATACATGTTTCTACTTAATTTGTAGGGTGACCATGGTACGGAGAGGTGGCACTGGTGCGCTGTACGCTTACCCTAACGACATTTTGTTACAACGTGTATTTATACTAACAGTCCGCTCCTTTGTTTTTTAAAGTTCTTGTCTTTATTAACAAAACTTCATTGATATAGTGTCCACTTAAAAAAACGTAGAATTGTCACCCTACAGCACTCAAGAGACCATTGCGAGCAATAGTTAAGCCAATTAGGATGCGTCGCTGTGAGGCTGCCATAACACGACGCTATGAAACACGCAAAGTTTGTGCTAAGAATTGTTCCACAAAGTACTACAATGCCTGTTAATGTAACGAGTAGATACAGATAGATAATTTTCACCTTTCGATTATTACACGACTTGGGACTAGCTTATATCTGCACCTTTTTACAATTTATAAACCAGCGCTTAACCATGATCCCACCCGATGTTTCTTGGTAGAAAAAATTCCAAACGGTGTACGTGGATGCTAAGTAGTTAAGTTAATATTATATTATAGTTAATATTAAGTAAGTTTAGTAGTTAAACCAAGTTACTCGTAGGACTATTTTGTTTAACTGATTTTTTTTAATATAGAGAGCATTACTAACTTTAAACAAGTTGAAGGTTGCTAAGATCCAAGATGGTTATATACAATAAACAAAAAGCATTTAACTTATAATCTCATGACTCACAATAAAACATGCGTAATTAAGGGATTAGTACGGTCATGCTGTAAAATTTAAATAACTAGAAAGCGTATCTTTTGATACAAATGTATGCAGAAACCTCAAGGGATCTCGTTAGGGCCCATAGCAAATAATTAGAGCGAGCTAACGTCCGCCTACCGCCAGTTGTACGCTAGGGTTACCACGCTTAAGTAAATCAAAAACTATTCCAAATCGTTTTACAAAACTTTATTCAGAAAAAGGCATTTAGTGCACTTAGTGGCGCCCTAAATATATCATAATAAACGATTTCTTTTTTTATAAATCGATAAAACATTTTATTGAAGGTAATACAAAAATTGATAGATATCTCACGGGAACGAGCTCGTTAGAGGCAATGGAAACAATTAATTAGAGCAAACAGTGCGCGCGCGCATACACTAATTAGACCAATTAGGATCCGGCAATCGGACGCGGCGAGATTGAACTGTAATCATTGTGCGCACATTTGGCCAATGTTTGACAAATTGCGCACACGAACATATAGACTAAGATTAATATGCTAGTTTTTAACCACTTTTGGTAACTTTTTTTACATTATAAGACAGTAAAGACGATGACCTTTTGAAGTCTTCCTCAAAGAGCAAGTATTATGATATCTATACTTATAAAGGAGAAAGATTTGGTTGTTTGTTTGTTTGTATGAAGTACTCCAAAACTAGTGAACCGATTTGAAAAATTCTTTCATTGTTGGGAAGCTACAATATCCCCTTATGACGCAAGCTATTATATTACTAGAATTTTTAATTCCACGCGAACGAAGTCGCGGGAAACTGCTAGTTAGTAATATAATAACCCGATGTACATATAATCATGTTATAATTAACAATTTAATATTTATAAACTTCTAGAATTATAATTTTATTTATGTTTATAGTAGAAAATGGGATATTAAATGATTAAGAGCATTCTAAGTTCTTCAAACCCTTTATTTTATTCTATTCTTGAATGATGTTAACAACAATAGTTTGTCAATAAAATTAAATATTTAATTCCAATAAGATAGCAGAATGAATATCCTAGGAACCGAAGTATCCTGGACACAGGTAGCTCAGGACTGATCATGGCGATCTTCGGGGAGACCTATACCCAGCAATGGGTTTCACATGACTGAGAACAAAAAGAAAACTCATCCATCTTCATCTACCAAAACAACCATTGAAACACAAGTACATAATGATTTTCTATATGCATACTGGTACAAGATCTGCTGGCTAGTTCTGCTTCAGTTAACAGTATAAGTAACTAAGTTAAATATCATATGTCAAGATAATATAATAAATAGTTATTGTACCGAAATAGAGTAGAAAGAATAGGCATTTATTAAGGTATGGTATACCATCTTTAGACCACATCATTATTTAACATCAGGTGGGAATGTAGTTAAGCGCTAGCTTATTCAATATAAAAAAAACAGCTCAGTGATGACATATTACGAGTTTATACTGACGAAACAAATGTATAAAGATATATAACCCATTGAATGAATTTAGTGACAGCTATTAAAAGACTATAAGATATGTAACCCTTTACATTGAATGATTTGATGGTCTTTATCAAAAACAATAAATATGACAATATGTTTCATAGACAAATGTTTTTGCAATTAAAATGCAGTGATAACTACACAAGAATAAGGTTTTAAATATGTAATACAAAATGGATGAAATAACTGAGAACTCTGGTTGAGAAAAATTATTAGAATCTCGGCCATGTTGACTTTATACATCATCACTTTACCAATGTAATTTTAAAATGTTAACCTTAATATATTCATCAGTCAAGGTATTTTGTATTTACATAAGTTTTAAATGAGGGTAGTAGATTTTTTTTTAGGTCCATATTGTAAATAGTTCTATCTCACTCTAACATTCCATTTAAAAAAAAATAACAGTGATTTGAAATTATCTTTTAAAAATATGTTATACATGATGTCATTGGAATGTATTATTTTTTTGTAAATAAAAATGATTTCATTCTTAATATTATTTGCCTTGTTTTAACTTGAAGGTCACATTATTTCTTGCAAGTTAACAAGTTAGGTTGGGGATTAAATACTTTAACTGTCTACATGTTATGCATTTAATTAATGATTAAATGTCATTAAATAATAAAAAATGTCGCCTTTTTATTTTCAGGTGTCTGTAGCTTAATGTTTAGTATAATTACAATGGTTAGCAAAGAGAAGTAAATATTTTTTTTTACTAATTTGTTTATGATTATGCAAGCAGTTAGTTGTTAATTAATCTCTTTTATAATTTTAAGGTTCCAGTAAGATTCCTTTAAGTAAAACAAAGTTTAAACCTCGTAAACCGGTCTACGATACAAACTTAAACACTTGATTGCAACTTATTATCAATGTCAAAAATAATACCTTTTTAATTGATTACTAATACGAATATAAACTTTAAAACGTCAACAAAACTCAGCTATTGACTTTAAAATTATTACAACAACGAGAAATTTAAACATTCAAACATATTCTAATAAGAACATTATGATATAGTTTTTTAGCAACACCGTCTGACATGATCTAGTGAATAAACAGTCAACTTACCCTTATCATACACCTCGGGCACACAAATGATGATAACACATAATCACATAAATGTCAACATATGATAATTAAAGGGAATTTTAACAATAAAACATAAAAAACATTTAAACTTTGACTTGCAATGACACACGACAATTCATACGCGATGGAATCACTTTCGAACTCCCGGTAGGGTACCGTGTAGGCAAGCGAAACTTTTATAATCTGTGCTACAAATTGAACGCAAACGGAGATCCTCCATCTTGAAAATTGTGTATCTATCTCACTCATAACTGTCTCAATAATTTTTGGGCTGTTTTAAAAAAAAAACATAGGGCATATGAATATATTGTGATTTAAAAATTTATGATTTCTTTACATCTAAAGTTTGGATTATAAATAAACAATTTAATCTAGTTAATTTAAGTATGTAATTTAAATTACAAATTTACAATTTATTTGTATTCATCATGAAAACACCCCCCCCCACACCCCACCACACCAGACAACGATGTCCTCCGCAGTCAGCATTAAACCAATAAACCAAAGAGTATATAAAATAAGAGACGGGACTCTTGACTAATTAGATACACAAACGGAGAATAACAATTGATTTTCAATGCTAGCAATATTATAAACAAGTCTACGTTGCTACCAACCTAAAAAAATCTATCTGTCAGTTTCCTTTTTGACGTTTGAAAGTATTATTTGAGGGAAAACAATTTGGAAAAATAAAACAATTTCGTTAATTGCAACTTTAATTTAATTTTCCAACTAAAGCGAACATATTTTAAGAACGCAACATAATGCTCATTGCTTTCGTAATAATACCATTATTGTTTAGTTCACCAACAAAATACCCCAACTATAATAAATGCTTATTTGTTACAGTTTGTTTATTTGATAGCTCATATTTTCTGATAGAACTGGAGTAGTAGTGCCACTCTCGTCGGGAGAAATAGAATAGCACTGGAAAGAGATTAGCTCCTATCTGTTGGTAAAATATTTAGAAAATTGCTAACAAGACAATATGCATTGAAGCAAAACAAATCGTCATCATTCAAGCTCATTATACGGACACACTATATTTCACTGAGAAGCTCGGAGCCTAACCTCAAGAATGCGACTAGGTTTTATTCAACAACGCAGAGCCAGTGAGGGTTGGTTGACTTCACACATATCTTTGAATTTCTATGCAGTTGTATGCGATTTGTAATTACAGTAAGAATGTCGGATGGATGTTATCATGAAATTCGAAGAACGCATTACTATATAGCGGAGATCGTACCTGGATATGTAAAATATGATCCGGTCAAGCGCCAACTGCACTGCCGACGCTCCAAATAGTCTCCTAATCCAAACTTTTCCTATCAAAACATTGCAAATGTAAAAGTCATGTTAAATATAATGTAATGTAAAAATAGAATACAATATTTAAGTTTTACCTTAAAATTATCATGACCCTAAAGATTCCCATATTAACTCTTTTGTTATTACTATTCTCCATAGATGTGTAACCTATAGATTCCTTAACGAGGAAAAATAATGAGCTTAGGAGGCATCATTTTGGGGTAAAGTACCTGTGTTGAAATTTAAATTACTTGTAAGAAAATTGTATACAATCTTTGTTTATTTTTTATTACTTAGTTCAAAAAAAGTTTAGGTTTTATTAGAAGTTGTGATATTTGTAACATCCAAATTTAATAAATTAATTTTGTTTCATATTTTTCACTAAATGTTATTTTTTTTATCTTTTGTACTTGATACTTAATTCCCTATATTTTATTATATTTTTATTTTCTATACACTGCATTTCCCAATTTCGAGAAAATCTTGTTATGCTAGTGTATATTTTATATTAAAGTCTAATACATATTACTAAAAATTGTCATATTATTATCAAACTAATATAAAAAACTAAATCTATAGGTTACACATCTATATATCAATATTGACATTAATGTAGTTACTAGCATTTCCTGCAACATGGTGACTCATTTTTAGATTTGCGGTTAAACTACTCCATATAATAAGTTATTTTTCAAATTTAGTATAGAATTACAATTATCCAACAATCAAACTTAGTAGCACAGATGTTGCAGCGACATGCAATCAGTAATTCTGAAGCAGATTCCTTCATTTAATAATTCTGTAGAACTTGAAGAGGTGCATTCATTCATCTGCAACAGTATGAAATGGTAATTAATTGATTCAGTCTACAACATAATCAATTTAATTATTGCTTTTCACCTAATTACATACCTTATTAAAAAAAGTGGTTTCTTTGATTATATGGACTCTTCCCCTTTACTTACAAAACTTCTTTGCAATTCTCTACAATGATGGAACTCACAAACCATGTAAAAAATGATGATTAGTTTTTACAGGTTTTTATAGGAACTTTTATTGCCTGCCCATTTTTGTGAAATGTCTATGATAGAATCATAAATCAAATTAGTTTGAAAAACTTGTCATGTCATGACCAATTTACAGTTTGATCTACAATATTTGAAACAATAATAGAAAGTTAATCTTTAAAACATTTAGCAACATTTTAACGTAAATATGGAATAAGATTTATTTACGTACAGTCAGCGTCATATAGATCGTCACAGACAAGATATGCAAATATATAGGTACACCAAAAGTATTCAATTATATCGGTACAACAAAAGTCCTCAAAATAATAGATACATTCACCCTGCTCAAATACATCGGTACACACACAGCGTCAAATATATGAGTACGTGCAAGATGCTCATAAATATCGTAGCAGCCACAGCGTCATAAGTAACGAAGCAGTCAAGGTGCGCAAAAATATCGGTACATTTGACAAAATTGAACTCTATCTCTATATACTTGTGATTCAATTTGGAATAAACTACTTCTGTTACATTCATTTGACACTTTGCATCAAACCATTTTTCAAAATTTACTAATAGTGTTCGACGCGGATGACAGATATTAGGTAGATAAAACCAACATCAAATTTAAGTTTGTCATCATATATGCTAGTTTGGTCTCGTGGCCTTACCGTTCGCCGCCGTTGGTACGTAAGGTCGGCGGTTCAAATCCCAAGCCACTATTTTTTTTTTATATTTAAACTTTTTAATTTTAATATCGAAGCACATGTATTTAAATTCTATCGCCGTAGTTATTGGGTACTTTTTGATATTGCCTTGGACTAATGAGTTTGACCGTTAAAGTACTTTTCTATTTCAAACAAAAATGAAGAAGATAAAGCGATGCTATTGGCATGTAATTTGTTTATTACTCATGTTTGTTAAACTTGTACCGGTAAAAATAACACTTTTACTTTTACCTTTTACTGATACTGATTATATTTAAGAAACAAAGAAAAAAAACTGAATGTCAATATCCAAACTACATCAAATTTTTGGCCGATTGCAATAAACATTCCAGTGTGCGTGGGCGCGCACACATATGTAGATAACACTTGTACGTATAGTTTCCGCGCGTACCATCCTTAAAACCCGCAAAGACAAACCACGCTCCGCCCACTTACTTCACCCGCGATGGTCTGACTTAATTGTTGTTAACTTTATTTAAATTTCTTTCTACCCGACAGCGAAAATTATAAAAAAAAATTATCGAGCAAAATTTTACATTACCAAATTTTTACTGGTTATGAAAAAATAACCCCGTGATTGATAAAATAAAAAAAGTAGCCTGAGATTCGAACCGGTAAACTTACATATTACGGCAAACATACTAGAATACTGCGCCAATCTAGTATTATATATATTGTGACAAGGCGAAATTTGATATTAGTTAATACGTATCTGTCATATTCGGCGTGACAAACTTTTATATGTAAGCGTTATGACAGGAGAAGAAAAATATTGGGTTGCCCAGTAAGTTCGTGCCGGTTTATAAGGAAAATTGAAACCCTGTTCTCTTAAATTTTTGGAAATGTTTTTAAATTATATTGGTACGACTCTATACCTAAAACGTCTTTTATTATTGGATAAAATTTTAAAAATTAGTTTTCATCTCAACCAATGAAATGAAATTATTCACAATATAGAAATTTTTGTGACGTTTGATAATGGTGGAAATCCGAAAATGAATCCACTTCAGCTACAGTCTATTGTAAGCTTTATATCGAAAATCAGAACGAACTTTCCGGACAACCTATAATGTTAATACAAAGTGTCAAATGAATGTAACAGAAGTAGTTTATTCCAAATTGTATCACAAGTATATAGAGATAGAGTTCAATTTTGTCAAATGTACCGATATTTTTGCGCACCTTGACTGCTTCGTTACTTATGACGCTGTGGCTGCTACGATATTTATGAGCATCTTGCATGTACCCATATATTTGACGCTGTGTATGTACCGATGTTTTTGAGCAGGGTGAATGTATCTATTATTTTGAGGACTTTTGTTGTACCGATATAATTGAATACTTTTGGTGTACCTATATATTTGAATATCTTGTCTGTGACGATCTATATGACGCTGACTGTACATAAAATATCAAGTATAGTCATTGATACTTTATTTGATATGTAGTGAGATAGAATAATAGTCAAACAACAAAAAATACAAAATATAGTACTATTGTATTAAAAAACACAATGTAATTACCACATGGTTCTTGGAAATCTTCTCAGAAGAAAACATCAGCTTTCTAACTCTCAAAATTATAATACACTTCATACCACAATTCACACTGAAACTACAATATGTACTACTTGAAACTACAATATGTACTTACAATGCCTTGCGGGTTCAGTACAACAATGGGTTCAGGGCTCTGTTGGAGCTGCCGCGCTTCTGCAGCGCGTCTGGGATGTTTGCTGATGCTGGTGTTGACGGCTTCGCCGCATTGATCAGGAAGAGAGCAGCATCCCTGATGCGGCGGGTGCGGGACAGCACCAACAGCTAACTGCAACTCATTGTTGATAGAGTGGGATTGGACTGTCCAGTGCTGGCCATGTGGACACGTCTACATGTGCCCTAAAGAATTTTGTTTTATTTTATTTTTGTGCTAGTGTGTTTAATTTGCATTTTTATTTTGTATGGACCATGTGTCTGAATTAAAGATTTATTATTATTAATATTCTTATCAAATAAGGTTAGATTTAAATATAATAATATTATAAAAAAAATCTTATAAAGGCTTAAATTCGTTTTTAAAATTACTCCAACTGCGGTCATTCGTTACCCATTCACTGAGCCACGTTTTAGCATCTCCTTGTAAACAATTGCCAATGAGAGAAAGACATTCGTG